AACAAAAGTGAAACTCCATCTCAAAAAAAAAAAGATCACTTTCCTGAGAGGTTAAATCTCCCCTCCTTCCCCTGCCCTCACTTTTTTAAACTGGGGATTATTACCCACACATTAAATGTTCTCATTTTGACTCCTTTAAGTAGGAAACGCAGTTCCAAACTGGTCACCACAGCTAAAGTACCTACAGTTTATTTCTAACCATTCTTTTCTTTAGCGGAAACCATCCTAACAAAGCTGAAACCAACCAAATTCACAGTCTGCGCGCACGGCTCTCCGTTCTTCTTCCTGGCTTTACAGGTTCCCAGGTCGAGAGCTTCACCCATAATTAAGACCTTTTGAGGATGATCGATAGATAAACACACCTGGAAGAAAGAGGTGGGGCAGGAGTTAACGGCAGACAAAATTATGTCCCTTTATTAGCAGGAATAGAGAGAAGAATGGTTGTTGCTGATTTTAGGTTATTGTCAGGTGCAGTGGCTCACACCTATAACCTTAGTACTCTGGGAGGCCAAGGTGGGTGGATCTCTTGAGGCCAGCCTAGGCAATGTGGCCCAAACCCTGTCTCTACAAAAAATACAAAAAATTAGCTAGGCATGGTGGTGTGTGCCTGTAGTCCCAGCTACTTGCGGGGCTGAAGTGGGAGGATCACGAGAGCCTGGGAAATCTAGGCTGCAGTGAGTTGTGATTGCACTCCAGCCTGGGCAAGAGAGTGAGGCCCTGTCTCAAAAAGGAGAGAGGTTTTACTGGTGTAAAGGAATGTGAAACCAGCGCTCTACAACTGTTTTAAGAACAGGGGTACAGAAGGCACCTTCAATTCTCTTCCTGTTTTCCACCCTTTCCTTCATCTTTGCGATTGGAATCCTGATTTTATCTGGGCTGGCCGAGTTCTCAGCCTCAGGTAATAGATCCTGTTCCCTGTTTTCCCAGCGCTCCTTAGAGCAAGCAGTGGTTATAAGTTCCAGATGATCAGATGTAAGCAGGAGCTGGTAGGGAAGCTTTTGCTTTCCTGACAAAATGAGTTAGGAGGCTGGCTCCCCCTTCCTCCTCACTTCTTGCCCTCTGTGGAGATGACAACAGGGAGACAAGTCCCTGAAGGGCCTTGGTGAACTCAGTTCTCTCCCTTCTTGTTTACAATTTTCTTCTTGAACCGATTGTACCAAGAGGTACTGTCCTGAATAGCCTGGGCTTTATCCTCACCCCTCCTAGGACAAAATCTACAATATTTGAGCTCAGTGAGCCAAGGAGCCTCCAGGTTATAAAACCCGGATCAGGGTGCTTTCATAATCCCTCTGCTGCAGGGTGAAGAGAGTCATGAGCAGACAGGATTCCACTTGCCTGGAGTGCCTTTCCCGAGCCTTGGTGGACTGGCTCAACCTAGATCCTAGGCTTCTGTGGATTCTCGCTGCCTAAGGAGCTTCGCCCAACTTGTGTAAATGTTTTATCTCCTGGATGCATGCTCCCACAGGTGGGTTTGTGCAAAACTGCAGGTAGCTTGGTTTGTGCTGAACCACTGGCAGCTGGGTTTGTACAAAGCTTTCGGCCAGACCTGGGAACCTACCAGATCTAGAAATAGTAGAAATTGGCAAGGTGTTTAGAGCCCTCCCATGGGATTGTAAACAGTGCATGGTGTTCCTCTCTAAGAAACTGGTACCCTTCCACGGTATGCCACTTCACAGTGAAAGCTTGAGTTTCAAAGGCACCCCGTGACCAGGAGCAAAAGGCTGATACTCACAGAGATGTTGCTCTTAAATCACCATAGTGCCTAAATCTGGATTTTTAAAAAAGCATATAAGAAAAATAAGCCCCCACTGTTTATTGTCGAAAAGAAACTGTACTTAAGTTTGCTACTAGCAGCCGAACACCCTCCTAACCAATAGAGGAAGATCTGTTGACATTCTCTGGTGAAAGCAAGGAATGAGATAACTTTTTCTTCACTTCTCTTGGAAACAATAATCTGACTACAATAGAGTAAAATTAGGTGCTGAGTCAGGGTAGAGAAACTGCCCGTTGCTATTCACGCTGTGTCTAGATTTGCGATTCCCTAGAGAAGCGGTGGGTAGTGCCAAAACTGTAGTGTTGCCTGAGAACATGAAAACTCCCTTTGATTTTAAACTGCAGCTATGGCTGTCAGAGTCAATGGAGCAAAATTCCCTCAACCATAACACACTGCTTTCCTGATGCCACCATGAACATTTATATAAGGACTCTGGCTGGGCACGGTGGCCCTCACTTGTAATCCCAGCACTTTGGGAGGCTGAGGTGGGTAGATCACCCAAGCCCAAGGGTTTGAGAGAAGCCTGGGCAATGTAGTGAAACCCTGTTTTTGCTAAAAAACAAAACAAAACAAAAACACAAAACAGGTCAGGCACAGTGACTCACGCCTGTAATCCCAGCACTTCGAGAGGCCCAGGCAGGCGGATCACCTGAGGTCAGGAGTTAGAAACCCGCCTGGCCAACATGGTGAAGCCTCATCTCTACTAAAAACACAAAAAAATTAGCCGGGCATGGTGGCGCATGCCTGTAATCCCAACTACTTGGGAGGCTGAGGTTACAGTGAGCCGAGATCGTGCCACTGTACTTCAGTCTGGGCAACAAGAGTGAAACTCTGTCTCGAAAAAAAAAAACAAACCACAAAAATTAGCTGAGCATGGTGGCACACACCTGTATTTACAGCTAGCTACCCAGGTGACAGAGGTGGAAGTATCACTTGAGCCCAGAAGATGCAGGTTGCAGTGAGTCAAGATCAAGTCACTGTACTCCAGCCTGGGCAGCGATTGACTCTCAAAAAAAAGTATCAAATCTAAGGAAACCTGAGCACAATAGTTCAAAGAACTCCAGGAACTTTGTAACTAATTCGAAAAGACAAAAGTAGTTGTTATGGCCGGGCACAGTGGCTCACGCCTGTAATCCCAGCACTTTGGGAGGCTGAGGTGGGTAGATCACGAGGTCAAGAGATCGAGACCATCCTGGTCAACATGGTGAAACCCCGTCTCTACTAAAAGTACAAAAAATTAGCTGGGCATGGTGGCGTGTGCCTGTAATCCCAGCTACTCAGGAGGCTGAAGCAGGAGAATTGCCTGAACCCAGGAGGCGGAGGTTGTGGTGAGCCGAGATGGCACCATTGTACTCCAGCCTGGGTAACAAGAGCGAAACTCCATCTCAAAAAAAAAAAAAAAAGTAGTTGTTACAAAACGCTTTAAACAGGTGGAAATTCAGAATATTGGTAGGTAATGAAGGAACAAAAAACAAGCCAGATTCACGGAGACACAATCACATAAAAGCATGATTTATTTTCTGGAGGTAGACTAATACAGATTTTTTTCTTTTCTATTTGAGATGGGATCCACTTTTATGCCTGGAGTGCAGTGGCACAATCACGGCTCACTACAGCCTTAACCTCATGGCTCAAGTGATCCTCCTACCACAGCCTCCTGAGTAGCTGGAACTACAGTTGTGCGCCTCCACTCCTGGCCAATTTTTAAATTTTTGGTAGAGGTTGGGGGTCTCACTGTGGTGGCCAGGCTGGTCTTGAACTCCTGGGATCAAGTGATCCTCCCACTTTGGCTTCCCAAAGTGTTAGGATTACAGGTAAGAGCCATCATGCGCAGCCTCAAATGTCTTTGATAAAACTCAGCTAACTTTAGAGACAATCATGAATCTAATCCCAGAAACAGGCTCTTACCTCCTCTGAACCATCCTTGGGCTTCATGGGGTTGGCATTGAGGATCCCTACTACAGTCCTCTGCTCCGTCTTCCAGAGTGCTTTGTGAACTTCTCCAAATAAGAACACAGACACGCATTGTGTGAGGTCACGAAGATCATTGAGTTTCCAAATGCTGAAGGTTTTTCCCTGGAACAAATAGTTATTCTTACTTTTAATAATTTTTGAACTGTAGGTTATGCTGTCTTCATTTATGGGCCAAGAGTTTTCCTATGGAAAAATATATGCATATAATCCATAAAATCCAAGAATTTTGTTAGTCGAAGATGTATGGTCAGCGTGTGTGATAACTATAAATTAACCTAGCCTTTAGCATTATATTACCCTTCTCATTTTAGAGATGAAGGTGAAATAAAGCAAGCCAGTGGCAAACTTGTTAGCAGAGTCTCTAATTACCTCTGGTCTAAGCAGAGGGAGTGGGATAGCACTGCCTTTCTAATGACACAGAGATACACACGCATGTCATTAAAAGGACAAGTGGAAGGTATAACACACACTACCATTTAGTAACTTACTGATATGAATCAGTATTAGGTAAATCGAATAAATCCATTCTATATCATTGATTAATTATGATGATCATTTGTAGAGACAAGGTCTTGCTCTGTCACCCAGGCTGGAGTCTAGTGGTACAATCATGTCCTGTTGCTCACTCCAACTCCTAGGCTCAGAGGATCCTCCATCCTCAGCCTCCCAGGCAGCTGGAACTATAGGCGCATGCTACCAGCCCCAGCTAATTTTATGATTTATTTTCCTTTCATAGAGATGAGGTCTCACTATGTTTCCCAGGTTGGTCATGAACTCCTGGGCGCAGGTGATGTTCCCACCCTACCCTCTCAGTGTTGGGGTTACAGGTGTGAGCCACCAAGCCTGGCCTAAGTCTATTATGAATATGAATAAAGAAGCTCCACTCTAGGCTATTACATTTTGTCTAGCTTACAAAAAAACAAAAGCATCATTTCAAGAAAATTGGTTGAGTTTAACCTTAACATTTCAGAAGTATTATTAAGTATCTGAAGAAATACAGCTCAAAATGCTGACCAATTATAACAGGAACAACCTCTACTTTTACAGATGTTTTAAAAAACAGAATAATTTGAGTAATCTTGACTTGCGCTGTCTCACAGAGGCACCCAGGCTGGGTATGGGTATGGGTCATGGTACGGAATCTACTGCCTGGACTCTGAGCGCGGCAGTCCCTCTTCCGTGGATTTGTGCAATGCCTGTCTTGGAAGAGTTCAGATAAATTCTCGTGCCTATTATTTTCATGTCATTACAGCCACTTATGAAGTACCTAAGAATTTAATCAAAGGAAAATCAGACCTGTCTACATTTACCTCAACACGAGCAGGATGTGCAGGTTTGTTGCATAGGTAAACGTGTGCCATGGTGGTTCACTTCACCTATCAACCCGTCACCAAGGTATTAACCCCAGCATCCATTAGCTCTTTTCCCTCAGGCTCTCCCTCCCCCTGCTCTCTCCCAACAGGCCCCAGGGTGTGTTGTTCCCCTCCCTGTGTTCATGTGATCTCAACGTCCAGCTCCCACTTATAAGTGAGACATGTGGTGTTTGGTTTTCTGTTCCTCTGTTAGTTTGCTGAGGATAATGGCTTAGGATCGGCTACTCTGAAAACTCAACTCCACGTTGGATCATACGAAAAACCTAAGGTTGGGCAAGATCTGTATTAGAGAATAAAACCATTATTGAGCATGATCAATCATAGTATTTTAGAGATAGGAGAGATTTTCAGTCTAATCAAAGCCAGTTCCTTCATTTTATAGAAAAAGAAATGGAAGCCAGTAAAGAAAGATTAAGGGTCAAACTAAGGTAACATCACTAGTTAAGGGCACGAGGCTTAGAAGCCAGGCAATCTGATTTGCCAGGTTACAAAATAACTTTCCCATTTAGATGTAGTCAAAGTGATTTTGAAACTTGATAGATTTTTGGTAATAATCATCAAATTACACATATCACATGGCACTAATACAGGCCAGCAATTTCAGTACTTCTGTGGTTGACGTCTGACATCTAAAGGGACCTCCAAAGAATCTGTGAGCTCAGCCTGTGTGTTATCTGTGCCTCTCCTCCATGGGAGACATTACAGTGTCACAGGGACAACCACATGTGTCACCAAAAACAATGACAAGTGAAATGCAGTAAGAATAATTTGGACAATGGGAAGCCCAAGAAATGCGTGCCACCAGGTCTTATTTAAGTAGGGCATCCTTTGCAGACACCTGGTGGACGCCAACTCAATGATGTGTGCAATTCTGGAACTCACTGTACTTATTTCTAAATGAAACACCAACAGGCTCCAGATAGCAAATTCGAATTCCCACTGTTAGTTTGTAGTAAAACTGCTAAGAAACCAACACAATGGCTTACACTGTTCATACTCTGTGGCGTAATCTTTTTCAGTATAACCCCAAATGTCACCCAGTCTATTTCTTCCAGCTTCTCTCTTGCCATCTTTTCCTTGATCTGAGACAGTCTGATCAGTTTTCGGCCAGTCATTTTCTTGTTCATTTCTGTGGAGGATACTCGAGGCCGCCTGGGTTAAGAAACCAGCGATTAGTAATTGTGATTCTAATAAAAAATTACCTGGCACCTTAGCAGGTGGTAAGGGAGTGTGATGGGCAGAAACCTCTACAGTACCTGTTCTCAGGATGCTTAGTTATATAGATCCATTTTTACAGCAAATACATAAAAATACGATTTTTTTTTTTTTTGGAGATAGAGTCTCACTCTGTTGCCTAGGCTGGAGTGCAGTGGTGCGATCTTGGCTCACTGCAGCCTCCACCTCTCAGGTTCAAGTGATTCTCCTGCCGTAGCCTCTTGAGTAGCTGGGGCTCCAGGCACGTGCCAGCACGCCCAGCTAATTTTTGTATTAGCTGGTCTCTAACTCTGGACCTTAAAGCGATCCACTTGCCTCAGCCTTACAAAGTATGGGGATTAAAGGCATGAGCCACTGCACCCGGCCTGCAAGGTAATTTCTAAAGCTAGGTTTGCCTTTCTTTGGTTATAGATCTAGGGCTTACATAGAACACAAGAAAGATCACAAATTCTTTAAGCTCTTAAATTATGCAAATTTTAACATCCTGAATACAATCCTTTTTTATTTTACAAAACCATGAATTGATATTCATAAATAAGGCATTTAAATTTCAATTATGCAAGAATTTCACAAGCTTTGCTACTCTAATTGAATTTTCTTAAAGTCAACATTTTGATATGCAACTTTGACAAAGGCTTCCGAATGTAGCTTCAGTTAGTATATTCTTGTTCCTAATGACTGGCCAAAAAACTATTAGGATTATTAACACTTGTTTCATCTTTGATTGCATTATATGTTTGCAGATGAGAGATAACACTCAGAGCAAAACATGCTTCTTCACTATTTCATAAGTCTTCTGGAACAGAAAATCCAGAGCTGAGTCTGAACAATGAAGAATATTTCTCCATTGTTCTAAGTCAGAAGGCAAAATACTGACTTCACTGGTGAAATTCTTTCCTTCGTCTGATTTCTGTGAGTGTAGTGTAATAGGTCCCCTCCATCCGCCCCACGTTACTTAAGGATGTATGTCAGCTGCCTGAACCGTGAAGGCCAGGTAGTGAGCTAAGGCCATGGTGCCCAGCCAAGGAGCAGGTTTCCCTGAGAACCCAACCATCCTGGAGCATATCGGGAACACATCAAGAACAGAGTTTCGTCACGCATACCCAGTAGGCAAACAGCTTAGGGGAGTCCTAGCTAGAGCAATCAGACGAGAAAGAGATAAAGAGCATCCAAATTGGAAAAGAAGAAGTCAAATTTATCCTTGTTTGCAGATGATATGATCTTATATTTGGAAAAACCTGAAGACTCCAAAAAACTATTAGCACTGATGAAAACAATTCCGTGAAGTTGCAGGATACAAAATCAATACACAAAAATCAGTAGCATTTCTACATGACAACAATCTGAAAATCAAGAAAGTAATCCCATTTACAACTGCTGCAAATAAAATACCTAGTAATACACTCAACCAAAGAAGTGAAAGATCTCTACAATAAAAACTAAAAAACACAGATGCAAGAAATTAAAGAGGATACCAAAAATGGAAAAATAGCCCATATTGATGGACTGGAAGAATCAATGTTGTTAAAATGTCCATACTATCCAAAGCAATCTAGAGAGTTAATGCAATCCCCATCAAGGTGCCAATGATAATCTTCAGAGAAACAGAAAAAAAAAATCCTTAAACATATATGGAAACACAAAAGACCCAAAATAGCCAAAGCGATCCTGAGCAAAAAGAAAAAAACTGGACGAATCTTATTACCTGACTTCAAATTATTCTAAAGCTATAGTAACGAAAACAGCATGGTACTGGCATAAAAACAGAAACACAGATCAACAGAACAAAAAAGAGAACTCAGAAATGAATTCATAAATCTGGAATGAACTCATTTTCAACAAAGGCACAAAGAACATACATTGGGGAAAGGACAGTCTCTTCAACAAATGATGCTGGGAAAACTGGATATCCATATGCAGAAGAATGAAACTACACCTGTATCTCTGGCTATATACAAAAATAACATCAAAATGGATTCAAGAGCCCAGGCATGATGGCTCACACCTGTAATCCCAGCACTTTGGGAAGCCGAGGCAGCTGGATCACCTGAGGTCAGAAGTTCGAAGCTAGCCTGGCCAACATGGTGGTTTCTACTAAAAATGAAAAGAAATAGCTGGGAGTGGTGACATGTGCTTGTAGTCCCAGCTATTCGGCAGGCTGAGGCATTAGAATCACTTCAACCGGGAGGCAGAGGTTGTAGTGAGCTTCGATCACAACACTGTATACCAGCCAGGGCGACAGAGCAAGACTGTCTCAAAAAAAAAAAAAAAAATTAAAGACTTAAGTCTAAGACCTGAAACTATGAGATCACTAAAAGAAAACATTGAGGAAACTCTCTAGGACATTGGTCTGGGCAAAGATTTGTAGAGAAATAACTGAAAAGCACAGGTAACCAAAGCAAAAATGGACAAGCGGGCGGATCTCCCAAACAGTCTTGCTGCCATGCAGGAGTACCTTATATCTACGTCCGAGTCACTCTTTGGCTTTTGGATCCTTCTCAGTTTTGAGGGAACTTTTTTGTTTTTTTGAGATAGGGTCCTGCTCTGTGGCCCAGGATGGAGGGCAGTGGCACAATCTCTGCTCACTGCAGGCTTGACCTCCCCACTCAGCCTCCCAAGCAGCTGGGACGATAGGTGCATGTCACTACACCGGGTGGCAACATCTGTTTCTTTAGTAATGGGGTTTTGTCCTATTACCCAGGCTGGTCTCAAACTTCTGAGCTCAAGCGATCTGCCCCCCTCAGCCTCCCATACAGCTGAGATTACAGGTGTAAGCCACCATGCGCTGCTAGGAAAAAGTTCTTCCATACAGCCCAGGGTTTTTTCCTTAACAACAAGTTAATAGATTACTACCAAAAAAAGCTCCAAAATCTAAAACTTTCTGACCACAAACATGACACTCAAAGGAAATATTTACTGTAACATTTTGGATTTTGGATTTTCAGATTTGGGATGCTTAACCAGCAAGTTTATCTAATGTGAATATTCCAGAATCCAAAATCCAAAACAGTTCTGGTCCCAAACATTTTGGATAAGGGATACTCAACCTATGTTGGGACCTGAGGTTCATGTATAACAATTACAAAGACTCAAACAATTCTGTAATCCCTTAAATTTAAAAGCCACTTAGAAGATTTTGCTGAGTAGTTTAAGCCTCTTTTACCTCAATTTTGATTCACATGTGCAGTAAATGCCCCCCAGCAGCTACATTGTTCATTACCAGCAGGGAGCTTCATGTGGGCCATGGCTGGGGGCAGGCAATAGCATCTCAGGAGGGGCCAATTCTCTACCTTGAGAAGGAACCCTGCAGCCCCCTCAATGAGAAAGAACCACAGCCTCTACTGCTGTCTTCTATTTCTCAGACTGTCTCAGATGCAATGAAGATACACATTCTTCAGTTCTGGAGAATACCAAGTCTTTTACAATACACTTTTTTGTTTGTAGAAACAGGGTCTTGCTCTGTTGCTCAGGCTGGTGTGCAATGGTATGATCATAGCTCACTGCAGTCTTGAACTCCTGGGCTCAAGTGATCTTCCTGCCTCAGCTCCTCAAGTAGGTAGGACTATAGGTGCATGCCCCTGCATCCAGCTAATTTACTTTTCGTAGAGATGAGGTCTCAATATGTTGCCCTGGCTGGTTTCGAGCTCCTGATTTCAAGCAATCCTCCTGCCTCGACCTCCCAAAGTTGGGATTACAGGTATGAGCTACCACACCCAGCCTTATAATACATTTTTATTGTATGCTGGAAACACTTGTTCTCCTCTGCCTAATAATACTTTAAGAGCTTTACTTGTTGGCCAATGTTTAGACTGGCACGGTTTAGGAGTTTTAGAGGGGTTTCATTTGGTTCCTCAAAGGGGCTGTGCTAAAAGCAATCTAGTCTCACAGTAAGGATGACTGTGCTGCCTTGGGATTATTCAGATGTAGTGATGGAGATGCAATGGAGTAGTGATACAGAGTACAGTTAATACAAAATAAAATCAAATAAAAGTCCAGGATTTGAACACAGCTTTTAATTGAGCTTGGAATATATTTCTATTGTAACAGACTATCTTAACAAAGAATATAAATTTGCCTTAAAAAGGGTATTAGAAAGAAAAATGGCATAGCTATTTTTCTTAACATCAATTACAATAATCAAAAGAAACAGAAAAAATGATCCTAAAATGTATACAGAACCACAAAAGACCCAGAAGAGCCAAAGCAATCCTGTAATTGCTTGACTGCATAAATATTATCCTGGTTGAACTATGTATTTACAAATAGTCTAGATATATCTCAGTAGAGATGGAGACAAATTTTTAAAGTTGACTGTTTCCATCTGTCAATTTCTGATTAAATATACTACCTTTTGTCCATTTCTTCTTATAGATACATATTCATTGTTGATTATATGCATAAGAAAGTCTTTCTTAAACATACATGCAACTGTACTTAGTCAAACCCAGGGCTATTGCTAGTCTTACGGCAGTGTTTTGCCCAGTTCACGAGCTGCTGGTGTTTTATGGATCCTGATGTATAAACTACTTCTAAAAGACTCTGAGAGGCACAAAGAGCCATGCAGTAGTGGCACAAATGAATAGCTACTACTGACCTGAGTCGTAGGCCGGAGAAGGCTTCCATGCAGACCGGCTGAGCTGTTTCCCCAGAGTTTCCTGGAGTCCCCATGGTCTGACCCCTAGTTATCCCAGTAGGTTTGTTCCAAGAAATAGTTTGGAGTGGTTGGGAGGGTACACTTGTCATCCTTGAAGAGGAGCTTTTGGGCTCTAGAAAATTAACACAATTAATGAAAAGGCAACCATACTGATAATCACGAAATTTATTTTTACAGATTTGTTCCTTTATTTGGTGACAGGAACTCACTGTATCACCCAGGCAGGAGTGCAGTGGCATGATCTGGGGTCACTGCAACCTCCATCTCCTGGGTTTAAGCGATTTCTGAGTAGCTGGGACCACAGGCATGCACCATGCCCGGCTTATTTTCCTATTTTTTGTAGAGATGAGTTTTCCCATGCTGCCCAGGATGATCTCAAACTCCTGAGTCCAAGCAATCCACTGGCATAGGCCTCCCAGAGTGCTGGGGTTACAGGTGTGAACCACTGCCTACAGCCTGAATCGTTCCTTTTTTAAAGCAACACCTGCAATAATCAAATCTTGAGAACAAAGCAAGCCCCACAAGACCATGTCTTGGCAGTACGGGCCAACAGAACTTTCTCTGATGACAGCAACGTTCTACATTAGTGCTGTCTACTACCATGGTAGCCACCAGCCACATGTAGCCATCAATCACTGAAATGTAACCCAGTGCTTTTAAGGAAGTAAATTTCTAACTGAATTTAATCTAAGTAAAACTTAAATATCCACATGTGGCTAGTGGCTAGTGTACTAGGCAGTACAGTTCGAAAGCACAGTTTCTCTATGCAACAATGTTTACTGAGTATTCATCACTTATAGAACACTGGGGCACATTCCCAAAGGGAGGAAAAGACCTCCTTCAGAATGAGTAATTAGTGGAGATTTGCATACAGTTCAAATTCTACTTTAAGAAAATCCAGGCCAAGCGTGGTGGCTCACATCTGTAATCCCAGCACTTTGGGAGGCTGAGGAGGGCAGATTACTTCAGGTCAAGAGTTCAGGACCAG